AGAAAATGAAACAAGTTATGAGTGAAAAGGTGACAGGATGGTCACTAATATGGTACAGCCTTGTATGTCAGTTTCTATAACTAATCCTACAGCACAAATACATGAGTTTATTTTATCATTTTACTGAAGACTGTCAAAGTCTGAGAGAGGACATATTGTACAGTATGTGGCTTTGCACTCAGAAATCCTTTGACTCCTGTGTCTCAGATCAAATTCCTCTAACACATTGTGTGTACACAAGGGTCTTGGTCGGTTCCCACACAAATCCTACCCTACCCTAGGCCAGTACTAAATATGAGGATGGAAAGTAGAACAATACAAGAGCCACCCAAGATTTCAGGGAGTATTCAGGCTAATAGAAGAGACAGACCATCAACAAGCAAACATATGCATTAAGAAGACAAGGAAGAGGGGTGGGGTGCAGGAATTCACAGACACAGAAAGTAGAGCAGTGGCTGCCAGAGGCAGAGGGGAAGAGTGGGTAGAAATGAGGCTTCCTTTGGCATTGAGGAGAATGTTCTGGAGCTAGGTAGGGGTAATGACCAGGAAACATTTTTAATGTATTAAATGCCACTGGATTGAGTATTTCAAAATAGTTAAAATGATAAGTGTCATGTTATATGTATTTTTCCACAATAAAGGAGGTCTTTCGGATGTAGTAGGTGCTGGGAGGGAAATGACGCAGGGTACTGCAACAGAAGTGGGACAGTACTCATTGAGAATGATGACAGCAAAGAGCGCAGTATCTGAGAAATGATCAATGAGAAGAAACGAGCCTTCAGAGGGTCTGTGATACAGTGGGACACAAAGGGAGGAAGTCAGGTTGGAGAGATGGCTGATGTCATGACACAAATTTGGTGAACACAATGGAACCACCCAGGCAAGGGGATGCACAAGCTCATTCATGTGTCTAAAGGTCCCCGGTGGCTGTGTAGAGGATGTGTGTGAGCCAAAGGGACCAATGAGAATGTGGCCACACTAAGAATGTCTGCACGCAAGGGTGACATTCAAGGTTGAGACTTCTGTGCTTAGAAAGGGAATATATATACCAGGACTAGGAGTACCAAGCCCAGAAGATGTGGTTGCCATGGTTATTGGATGTCCCTAGGAAACAATGAGAAGTTCTGCATCCCACAGTGTCCACGAAAGGCAGGAGTAAAACTGTTCAGACATAGAGAATGCTAATCCTCATCACATTGCATCTGTATAGGCCAAGATGGCAGAAGAGGCCAGGTGGTAGGAGCTTATCTTGAGCCCAACTATGGGAAATGGACTCCTTCACAGGCTGAAATAAGCACCTCAAGGGAGGAGGGACACGGGAGGCTTCCATAGAGCTGGTTGTATGCTGAGAAGTCCCAGAGAGAAGAAGCCAGTGACCTGGGGATGCAGCCTTGGCTCACAGCATGGCTGGCTTCAGCCACATTAAAGGAGAAAGCAGGAAGGAGAGCAATAAGAGTTGTCTGGCTCCTAGGCAAAGCACATCTGGATGAGAAGATGGGTACAGAGAAATCAACTTAACACTGGAAGAAACCAACAGGCATGGCAGAGCTGACACATTCAAGTGGCGAAGCTTCCTGGGTCTTGACAGCAGTGTGCATAGGTGTTCTGAGTCCTGTGTCTCCAGGCCACACTCTGCTCCAGCCCTGAGAAATAACTGAGCAAACATAGCCCATGAAATTGAGAAATTTGTGATTCTCAACCTGAGTGTGAGATCTTGTGGTGCCAAGGGGAAGCAAGAGGGGAGCAGACTGCTTCGGCCCCAGGAATGTTGGAAGGGCTTGTCTTCAATGTTGTAGGAGCACAGTGTGATATCACAAGCTCCCAGATTGTCAGTATGACAACACAACTCTGTGGTGAACAGCAAACATTGTAGGAAACACCATAAAACAGTCTACATGATGACAGATGAGCAAACTGCCAGGATGAGGGTCTATACCTTCCACAACTGGATAGAACACTTGAAGATCTGCACCAAAATGGAAAGTGAAAACAGAAAAGAAGTGCCACATAGTCAGGAAATGATGTATGTCTAGCAGTGACCCCGTCTCCTCTCCTTGCTTTCTTTTGCAATGTAACTATAAACCTTCACCCCAACTTCTCTCTGTGGGCCCAAAATTTGTGTCCCAGGATTCATAAACGCCCCAAGTTTCTGCAATCTAGAATGATCACTGTTAATCTAGATCTAGATCTAGAAGATCTAGAATGATCGGTGTTAATGCCCAGTTTTATCAGGCACAGCTCAAGGGCTGCCAGGTTCTGAATGTCCTGCTCTGCCCATAAGTTCCATCAGAGGATTATCTGAACACTAGAGATGGTGAGGTTAAGCCTGCCAGGAGCTGGACAATGTTCCCAGAAAAGAGAAGGTGGAAAGGCAGAACTTGGACAAGCAGGGCTGGGGATGATAGCCAAGAGCAGGAATAGTGTCGTTCTTGGCTGACCGGGACTGAGCAAAGTTGTACTCAGAGACCCCAAGAGGCATGCACACAGCTCAATAGAGGCACAGAAATATCCCTCCATCTCGACAAACTAGGGGAGAGGGCCTGGAAAGCAGGTGTTTGCGCAAAAAAAGGAAGAAAAAATTTGCAGTGGAAAGAGACGGACCCCTACTGCACCTGGCTCCTGGCACTTGAGCCAGCTCTGTTCCCCATGATCTGTCTACCCACAATCAGGGGCCAATCCTCAACCAGGTCACCAAAGCCAGCACTTAGTAATGTTGTAGAAGAGGATGACTGAGTGCACAGGGGGACAAATGGAGGTGTGTACAGATCATGTAATTGGAGTCTCAAGTTCAGAAATGAATGAATGGAAAAACGTGAGTCACAAGACCCTGGGTCATGGGCTGTGCATCTGGACTCCACTTCTTAGCAGTATTAAGGGCAGGGGGGCACCTGGAAAACACAAAGCTTGCAGGCAAGTTCCAGAGTCTTTGTGACCATTCATCATGACCCCAGGACAGAAGCAAGCTCTGTGCACCTGTACTCCAGCAAAAATTTTTCAGCCCGCTAGGGCAGGGCCAGCCCTCTGGGCTCCCCAGTAGCCTTCCCAGAGCAGTTCACAGAGGCAGGACTGTAGCACAGCTCTGGTCTGAACAGAACCCTGACCCAAAACATGCACACTCCTCTGTGAGTTCCCATTCTTTTCCATTCTTTATAAATCAAAAAATCAATTACACAGAAAAGAATCTTCTGCCCCAGAAACCCAAATGACTTTATGCATAATTTATACATGAAAATGTAAATGTCAATGTGTGACAAATCTCTGTATAAATATTTTTACAATTAAATTTTTTGGCATCCGTCTTCCTCCCTAAGGAGCTAGCAGACAGACATAAGGTCCCATAGGTCATGCCAGGTAGAGCTGAAAATGGAGCTTGTCATTTTGACCAGCTAATGAGACAGGTGCCAGTGCATAGTCTGGCCCAGAAGGCCGCAGCCTTGGCACCAGACACCTACAGTCAAGTCAAGATCCGCCACAGCTTTCCATCATTGGGGTCCAGCTGTGTTTTGTTCAAAATGGAGATTCAACACTGTGTCCCAGCTCTGCACTAGACCCAGGAGGAGGGTAGAATAGAGTATTGCCTCATGCTCCAGTGGCTGTGAGTCGACTGGGAGAACCCAGCATGCAGATAATGAATGACAATGACTGTGTGTCCAATTCCAGGCCTGGGGTGGGCCCTCCATGCCAGGCAGCTGCAGTGGAACAAGTATTCCCTATGCCCGGTGCATCCCCAAAGACTCCAGGGACAGGGCCAGTACTGATGGAGTCGGCGAGGTAGCTGAAGGCAAGAGGATGAGAACCCCAAGGGCAAAGCCATAGTGAGAGCAAGCATGTCCAGGTGTGAGGGAGCCAATGGCTAATGCTGGAGCCAGCCAGCAGTGAGGTTGAAGTAGAACACAGGAACCACATAACCAATGGGCTCTTTGCCCACCACTTAAGTAAGACTTTGCCTGGACTGAACACTTGGAAGAGATTAAAGCTTCACTCTACTCGGTATATAACATGAAGGCCAAGTAGAGGATTACAGAAGTGAAAGAAGGAGAAGCTGAAGGAGCTTTGCAAAGTGTATATGAGTGAGTGCAGAGTCCACACCAACAACCATTCCCAGCAGGACCCTGAGCCCATGCCAGGCCACAGCAACCTGTTTATCTGCAGCCCAGGGGTCCTGAAGAATTCCTTCATTTACAGATGCACTTGTCCAGGGGCTTGATGCGTACAGGGCTTTGAATATAACCCATGTGAAAGGTAGCTGGGCCTTGGCTTTTTGTCTGTAGCTGCTTTTGCTATCTGGGGCTAGCAATTCATTGTTCAGGACTTTCCTGACACTCTCTCTTCAGATGTCCAGGAGGGGTCCAGGCATAACACACAGTGTCTTCTCACACGAGGACACAGAGAGAGGCACAGTGAACAGTGTGAGAACTAAACTTACATACAGGGGAGAAAGCAACTGCACACTGCACCTTGGCCAGAGCCCAGGGTCAAGAATATGGTCAAGAATATGCCCCCTCACCCAACATGCACTTGCCCATATGCAGTTGTGCCCAGATTGTCTGCACAATCTGAGGTCCCACTGGTACCTTCCTAGCACTTAGGCCTTAATAAAACAAAACAAAACCTATGCATGGTAGTGCATACCTGTAAGCCCAGCCCCTGAGAGTCTAGGCAGGAGGATTACCATGAGTGATTGAGGCTGGCCTGGGCTACATAGTAAGTTCAAGGCCAGCCTGAACTACGTAGTTTGACCTTGTCTCAAAAAAAAAAAGAAAAAAAACATAAAAAGAAGACAAAGCAAACCCCCTTTTTCCACCCATTCTGTATCCAGGAGAGCCTCTGCTGCAACCTTGACCTATAGTCCTGCTCAAAAAATAGAAGCCCTGACACCCACAGCATCAGAGTTTCAAGCCATCAACCCCCATCACACCAGAGCCGTCTTTCAGAAGAGCCCAGCTTATCCACACTGACTTTTGCACACCATTGGGGACTGGTGACTCCCAGGCACATACCTTGCTTGACCTTCGGGGTCCTAAGGCCATCCACCTGAGCCAGAGCCTCCCAGGCTTCCCGTTCCCTCCAGCGCCTCAGCTGCTCCTCTCTCATCTTGTAGAAGAGGATGTGCTTCTGCATATCGCTGAGCTCAGCCAGGAGCTCAGGGTCGATGTACAGATCATGCAGGATCTGTTGCAGCATGGTGCTGACTGTGAATGCACGAAGACAGTTGGGCCAAGTAGATGCTCCGGGCCACACTTCAACCCTAGTTCCTCACTCCAGGGCCAGTTCTCACACCCCTCCTCTGTACAGCATCACCACTCTGCAAGTGCTGAACTCATCTCCTCTGCCTAGGACGGCAAAAGAAGCCAGGCAGCAGGAACGAAGGGCCTCAAGCAGAAGCAGCCACCAGAAGCAATCTAGTCCTTCTGTTGGGTCACCAAGCACCACATTCCAGCATCACCTGTGTCTTGGCCTCACCCAGGGTTTGGGGATAGTTGGGAGGGTCCAAGCACCAGCTGAGTTGAGTAGTGCCAGACTCAGCCCAGCCTAGGCTGGTAGGTGTCAAGTGATCTGTTAGTGGAAGGTAATGATGACACCAGCCATATCAATGACACTGCCCTGGCCAACTGATCTCTCCTCTGCAGATAACAGGAGGAAAAGAGGAGGAGGGAGCTTTGCCTAATAATTCCATGTCTTTTAAGCCAATTTCAAACAGAAAACAGAGAAGCCAGCCAGGAACTTCTGGACTCCTCAGCCCCTTGCTCTACCTACTCCACCACTGTCAACTTTCTTTTGAGGACACCTGATGGGCCAAGGTAATGCTTTGAAAACTCAGCATTGGGAGAGAAAAGATCCTGCCTCCTACCTGCATCACAGACAAGGAGGAAAAATGAATAGAATCAATAGTAACAATTGAAAAGGTGTCATCATGGAGTTCAAGGACAGGAAGACAGTCAGCACCCTTTTCCTGTAATGAGACTCCGAAGATATGGTGTGATGACAGACAAACCTCCAGGGGCCCATTTTGGTCATTGTATTTGATCTCCTTGTTGTTGTAGGTGTCTGGAGTTCATCAAAAAGAATAAACATGAAGCTTCCCAGTCTGCAGGCCCTGATCAGAGGCGCCCTGGCCAGGACAGGATGTTTATTCCTTCTCACAGGGAACCCATCCTGTTTGTCTGTGAGGATGAGTAGGAGCTGCTATTGCTGAGACCAAAAGCTCCCCGAAAATATGCTCAGAGCTATTTATAACTGTTCCTTCATTTGGACAAAAAATCAGGTTTCAGAGAAGGTAAGTGGCTTGTGTGCGCTGTGTGCGCTGCATGGTCAGTAAGCTGCTGGACTGGGTTGCCATCCAACTTAATGCTTGGCATCTTGTGCCTTCACTTTATGTCTCTTGTATTACCTTAAACCTTAAGCATGTTAATTACTCTGGGAGGGTCTTTATCACAAGGTTCATTAGCCCTAAGTTTACCAAGCCTATTTCATTCCCCTTTGAGACTGAGGATACCAAGATAAGAATAACTTAAATAATTTTCAGGGTTGGCAGTTCCAGACCTTCAGCATTGATGCCCGGAACTCTCTAGATGGTACCCTAACCCGCAGTCACCTCGGGCTCTAGGAAGAGCAGAGCCTCAATGACAACCCTATAAGATCACCTTGACAAGGCAGAGTAACTACCTCATGCCAGAACCCAAGCTGCCCCTCTCAAGGACAACCATCTCATGGGGAACTGAATGCCCCTCACACCATGAAGATTCCTCCAGGGCTATGAAACCAGGACAAGACAATGGTCCACGAGGCCTCAGTCCCCCACAGCACCTCATAAAACTGCTCTTCTTTGTGAATAGGCCAGTCTGATCCTCCTTTTCAGCCCCCTAAAGCCCTTTCTTTCCTCTGTCAGGGGGATGGCTTGATCTTTGTCAGAGCTATAAACAACTTCATTTTCTCTTGCTTTCCCATTACAGCTTTTTCCTGTAAATTCATGCTGAATGCCTCCATTTTAATTTCTATTATCACTGAAGCAAGGACTCAGGTGCTAGCTGGTGACAGTCAGCTACAAAGCTAACCCTACAAACAGGAACAGGAGTTGGCACTGTGGCCTGGTTGGATCAGTAACCTCCACAGTTGCTCCTCCTCTCTCGGGATGGAAGGTGGTCAGCTACCCACCAGATTTGGACAGATGGTGTGTGAGCACCCCTATACTCTGCAAAAGCCACACACCCCAAAAAGGTCTCTCCAGGTTCCTGTCAGGCACAAATGAAAGGGGGACTCTGCATCTCTCCTCAGGCACAGTAAGCAGGTCCTAGAGTGTCCCAGATATTCTGAGGACCTCACGGCGGGGCAGTGGCCTTGGGCCCCCTACTTGCCCTCTGTTCTTCTTCTCCACCTCTTCCATTTGGAGCCCTGCTCCCCGCCTTCCTGGAAAGGGGTCTTCTTCAGCCTCGCCTGCCTCTGGTAGGGCTACTACCTTTGCGCCTCAGCTGTGACTGGGGGAAACTGTGTCCCGCCAGAGAGGAGGCTGGGAGGAGGTCACCACCCAGGCTCTGACCTCCTGTTGGCAACCTCTTCTTTCTTTCTGTGCCTCCCACAGGCCTAGGGCACAGAACATGCGCAGAGAGGAAGAACCACCCTGGACCCTGCTGGATGAGGGAGCAATGTCCAGGTCTCAGGCTGGGTGGTGATGGTGTCACCCTTGTGATGGAGACTCTGGAGGAGGCCGACGGTGGAGGCCAGTGGTCTGCTCAGCAGAGGGTTTCTCCAGAGGGAAGGGTTCTCCCTGACAATCCCAGGTCAGTGAGGCTGGAGGCCAAGCGACATTGAATCCCGGTACGGGAGGCTCAGTTTAGTGGCTCGGCCCGAGTATCAGGTTTCCAGACCTGCTACCGGGTGGGGCCTCTTAGCCGCCCTTGCGCAACCTCAGGCCTGATGTCCGCCCTCAGGTCAGGCTGGGCCGGCCTGGGGCGCCCCCTGGTGACCCGACTGGGCGCTCCTGGGGTCTACAGTCCACAAAGAGCCGGAGCCTGGATTGAAGAGACCTGGAGTGGGCAGATCAGCAAGGCTAGGTCCGGGGACAGGAGGCATGATCCCCGCCAGAGGAAGAGCATTGAGCTGCAGCTGGAAAGGCGGTGAGGGCCCCGGGCGCTCAGCAGGCTCTTGTTGCCTTTCCATCAGCTGTTTGATTTGTTTGTTTTGTTTTGATTTTCCATTGGCTGCTGGGGTGTGGTTAATTTAGCAATTCCGGGATTCGAGGCGCTCGCACATGAGACACTGTTGTGCAAGAAGTTGGAAAGCACCTGGACGTCTCTCAATGACGGCTGCCGCCAGCGCGCAACTGCATGCCTGTTACAAGGAACGCTGTGACTGTCTTGGTGAAGACGTCAGTGACACATAACATGAAGAGGCAGCATGCACTTTTAAAAGTCTGTTTGAACCCAGGAGGTGGCAGGGGGCGGGGGGGGTAAAAATCGTGTTTTTTATTACTTTTGTGTAAACAAAAAAATAAGTATGATTTTACACCTAATTGCTAAACAGAGTTTTTTTCTTCTTGGAATGGGATGGAGACCACTTATTGTTCTGTTGTTTTACAATGAAATCATATTATTTCAAAAGTCTTGAAATGTAATCTACCAACGCCTATCTCTGGAGATTAGCCTGTAAGCGGCAGGGAACCACCCCTCTGAGCACTGCCTGTCCCTCTGCCAGGAATCCACTTGGCTTTGTCACCAAATTCTAATCTTTCTCAAACCTACCCTATATTCCTGGTCTCCGCTCCCTTTCTCTGCTGTTTTTCACCTTAACAATTTGTAAAACACCATTTGATGTACCTATTTGGTGACCATGTTTCTGTCTCACTCTTCCTACTACACAGTAAGTATCCAAGAGCAAGGGCTTTCACCTAGTTAGTTGACTCACTGATGGAGAATACTGCTGCCTAAACACACAGCAGTGCTGGATAAATACTGAAAAAAGAACGAAGGGGGAACTTTCCAGGTGGAATTGACCAGAGTCTGTATAAATGCTGGGGAGGTGCCCAGAGCAGAGGTGGCAGACACTTGGACTTGGGGATCATGGGTAGATGAGCTAAATCAAATGAATGATGGTCCTGGCACAGGCCACCTACTTTAGCTTCCCTGTCATGTCTTAGCCACGTGGCCCCTAGGAGGTAGGGTCAGTGATGGCCAAAGGACCCCAGCATTTCAGCTGAAGCCAAGCATGGACACAGCCACCACATAAGGTTCAGCTAAAGGAGGACCTTCCTGACATGACCACTCCCAAGAGCTCATGTAGGATCTCACCAGGTCTCAGTTTTGCAATTCAAATGCTCAGTGAGAGTTGAGAGTAGTTTTTTCTTGTCACCACTGAAAAACCATAGGCATAAAGCTCAGTAGTGTCCTTGTAGGAGTACAGCAATAACTTAGAAAATACACTGTGAAAAAAGATCCCTCTCACCATAGGAATCCACGGAGGCCTGTGGTGAAGAGAAGCAGACCTGTATGCTGAGGACACACCTAGACTTAAATTGGCCTGGGAACACACTCCAACATCACAAAGACCCAATGCAAAAAAAAAAAAAAAAATAGAGCTGTAAAAATTAGCCCTTTCCAAAGTGTTTCCCAATGATCTCCATGTTTTGGAACTCACATTCTTGTGGCATCACCTCTAACACATGCCAGGGTTGATGTGAGTGACATATCACATATACCAGAAATGATTGTTTTAACAGACATTTAATATCTCCCCCCACCCCGACTCTCTCTCTCCATATATGTCTTCACTCATCCTGGGGAAACCATGACGAGGGAACCGTGTGCATTAGAACTGAAGCCTCTTGCCAACAGTCACAGAGTGGGCTTGGAAGAGGATCCCTTCAGCTCTGGCCTGGAGAAGTCTCAGCCCTGGCCAACAGTGTCCTTATAATCTCATGAACATCTCAGAGCCATAAACACCCCCACTAAACTGCTCCTAGATTCCTAATCCTTTATATAAACTGCTAAATGTTGGGATGATTTGTTGTGCAGTTAATATATAACTAATATAATCTCAAATTGGTCTATAGAGTTAGTATCATTCCAAGCTAAATAGGAAAGGAAATTGTGAAGTAGGGGAGAGGTTGGATAAAATGATTCTCAAATTAGTCAGAAGAATGACAGAGGAGAGGATGAAGATGTAGCTCAGTGGTAGAATATTGCCCAGCA